GAGGTCAAATAAAAACAGATCAAAGAGCTAGATACAAAAACAGAAACATCTGCCAGAAGATAATATAGATAAAACTCTTGAAAACACTGGCATAGGCAAAGACTTTCTGAACAGAACACCAGTTTTACAAGAAATAACATCAAGAATCAACAAATGGGATTATATCAAGTTAAAAAGCTTCTACACAGCAAAAGAACAAACCAGTGAAGCGAAGAGAAAACCTACAGAATGGTTGAATGAGCAGTTGAAATGAAAATAAACTTCTCCAAAAAAGAAGTAGAAACGGCCAATAAGTACATAAAAATATTTCAGTATCTTTGGCTTTAGAGAGATTCAGATCAAAACAACATTAAGATTCTGTCTTACTCCAGAAAGAATAGCTATCCTCAAGATCTCAAAACACAACAATGCTGGAGGGTTTGTGGGGGAAACAGAACATTTCTACATTGTTGGTGGGAATGTAAATTAGTACACCCACTATGGAAATCAGTATGGTGCTTCCTCACAAAACTAAACATAGAGCTACCCTGTGATGCAGCTGCACCACAACTTGTTATATAGCTAAGAAAATTTACTCTAGCATATTACAGTGATTCTGAATGTTAAGCTTATTGTGGCACAATTCACAATAGCCAAGATATGGAATCAGCCTAGGTGCCTATCAATAGATGAATGGATAAAGAAAATGTCATCTAATACCCAGTGGAGCATTATCTAGGCACAATGAAAGGCAAAATTATGTCATTTGGCTGGGCATACTTGTGCACACCTGTTATCCCAGCACTCAGGAGGCTAAGCAGGAGGATAGCTGCAAGTTTGAGGCTAGTCTGGGCTACATAGTGAGTTCACGTCCAGCCTGAACATAGTGAGACCTCATCTCAACAAAACAAAACAAAACAAACCTTATGCCATTTGCAGGAAATGGATGGAATAGGAGACCATCAGGTTAAGCAAAATAAGCCAAACTCAGAAAGACAAGTATGGCACATCTTCCCCAATATTTAGAATCTAAAACAGATGACATGAAAGTAGAACGGAGACTATTATTAGACAAGAGGAAAGCAATAGGGGGAGGGTGATGGTGTTGTAAGTGAGAATAATAGGGGAGATGAATAAAAGAGTTATTAATGATAACACTGACAGATCATGATGTTGACATGAATTTGTTGAGCTGAAAATGTGCCCACTACACTATGTTAAATGAACAGCAGTTTATATAATAGGATATATAGGACTGCCAATTTTTACTTTAAAAATGCATTAATGTATAGACATATTAAGAGATGATCTAAAATAGTGTTCATTTAACTGTTTTAATCCATCTCAGGAAGTAAGATGCTGAGTATATTTTTTCTTTTGTTTAAGAGTAATTTTTAATTTGTGCTATTATGTGAGATGATGGATATATTAATTAGCTTGATTGTAGTAATTATTTCATAATACATATGTATCTTAATACATGATATGTTATATCTTAAATACATATGATCTTGTCAATTTTGCTCAATTAAAAATAAGTTTGAATGTATATGTGTGTGTCTATATGTGTGTGTGTGTGATACTGGGGATTGAACTCAGGGGCTTCACACTGAGCTACATCCCCAGCACTTTTATTAGTTTGAGACATGTTTTCTCTACATTGCCCAGGCTGGGCCCAAACTTGTGATCCTCTTGCCTCAGCTTCTTCCCAGAGTGCTGGAATTATAGGCATTCACCACCATGCTGGCCTAAACTGTACTTTTTTTATTTTTTTAAAGAATGAACTTTGGCCCCTATCTCTCAGTATAGGCAAAAGTTAACTCAAAATTTATCAATCACTTATGTATAAGAGTCAAAGCTGTAAAACTCTTAGAAGAAAGTATAAGAGCAAATAATCACGATCTTGGCAATGACTTCATAGAGATGGAAACAAATGTACAGGCAATAAAAGAAAAAATAAGTAAATTATTCTTTTTCAGAATAAGAAAGTCTGCTAAGCAAAGGATGTAACTAAGAAAATGAAAAAAAAAACAACTTACGAGAATGGGATAAAATATTTGCAAATCATTCATCTGACAAAGGTCTAGTTTCAAGAATACATAAAGAACTCTTACAACTCAACATAAAAAAAGACAAATAACCTGATTTAAAATGGGAGAAAGGAGAGTCAAGATGCAGGTAGCAGTTCACAGCCTTGAATCAAGACAGCTTGAAAAAAATGAACTCAGCAGGACAAAATAAAGAGCTCTAAGAATCAGTCTGAGGTAACAGAAGTTAAAAATTATGGAGAAGTGGTGCATGCCTATAATTCCAGGGGCTGAGGCAGGAGGATCACTGCGAGTTTGGGGTCAGACTGGGCTAGTGAGTTCAAGGCCAGCCTGAGCCACATTGCACGACCCTGGTTTAAAAAAAAAAAATCACGGAGAAACTGAAAGCTAATGTACAGAAAAGAATAAAGCAGTCTGCAGTAACAACCCTGGTCCTAGGGAGGGAGCCAAAAGAGGCTGTGCAGGCACAGAGAGGATTGGCAACCCTAGTGATTAACAGCAGACCAGTAGTGTCGGCCACTGGGAAAACCCAAGGTCATTGCAATGTGGGTACTTACTTTGAAAGTGACTCCTTCACATGGCAGGCTAGCTTTGGAGAAGAAATTCTCAGCAGCTCTTGCCATAGTTAGGGGCGGTATAACAATAATTGTCTCTACAGAATGGAACTTTAAAAGTTAGATTTTTTTTCTTATAATTTCTCTATGCTTTCTCCTCCTTAGCACACAACGAATACCCTCTTCTGACAAAAGAAGTAACAGAATATGCGGGTGCCAGTTCTAGGAAGAAGGCACCCAGTTTCCTTTTCATGAGAAGGGGATCAATGAACTGAAAATGATAAAGTAAACACAGAGAACGGCATTGTTTTTCTGAGCTCCTCTCCCCTCTGTTCCTTAATACAAAAGACCTTTCTTTGCTCACCTGTACATAGGGAGATGGTGACAAGGCAGATGGAGCCCTCTATCTCCCCAGAGCTAGCTTTGGATAAATCATTTTTCCTTCTTTACCAAAACATATGGCCTCCTTTGATTCGGTCAGCAGTAGGCAAGTGAACTTTGCATGAACCTGAGTGGCTGAGCCACGCTAAACCAAGAGCTGTACTGAGAGGAGGCTCACTGTGTGAGGCTGAGCGCCTCCAGGGACCAGAGTTCAAGGAACAGCCACACTTTCGGGTCCCTGGCAACATCACGTCTTAGTGACAAGAGTCAGCGTCTCCACAAGAGACAGTCATGGAGAGGGAAGGGCTACCTTCCCTGAGAAAGACTTAAAACTATAGCCATAGGGAAGAAAGAATGCTTCCTCTTTCTGAGTCTTACGTATATTTTCCAAAGATCTGTCCTCATTCCACTTTTCTCTTTAGCTTCACTTGTTATCTCTGTGCTGCTGATTCTCAAGTCTCCCTCCTTAGTCCTACTCCTAGTTCTAAATCTCCAGCTGCTTTCAGAATGTCTCCTTGTGAATATCACCCTAGTGCCCTAAGTTAATAGGTCCAAAATTGAACTCACCTTCCTCCCCACAGCTGCTCTCCATCCCAACCCAGTAGGCTTCCTTAGACGTCCTGTCTGAAACACGACTGCCTCCCTGCCATATTTTATATCCACCTTTCCTGCTTGAGTGATACCCTCCTTGTCATTTATCACTATCCAATGTTTTGTTTTATTTGTTTATAATTTTTTTCCTTTGCCAAAATGTTAATTCCACAAGAGCAGGAATTTTTGTCTGTTTTGCTTATGATGTAACTCCAGTAACTAGAACAGTGCAGGCAGTCAGCTGGTGATTGGTAAGTATTTACTCAATGACCTGATGAATCCTCCTTGCCTTTGGTTGCCATTGTCAATTAACCTAGTTAGTTCTACACCTGTGGCATCTCTTGTTTCCTCTTGTGCTTTTGACAGGTGTGTTCAACTGTCTTTGAGTCTCAGAATTATTCAAGAGCTTGCCACATGCTGGCTTGTTATTTAAATTACCTTAGCTTCCGTTCCTCATGCTAAAATGAGGCTATTAATAATACAGATGCATAGAATTATCATGAGACTTCGAAACATGATACATGTACAGCACCTGGTTCAGTAGCTGAAATAAAATAAGCACTCAAAAAATGCTAGCTAGGCTCGGGGATTTGGCTCAGTGTGCCACTACTTGCCTTATAAGCATAAGGTCTCAAGTTCGATCCCCGGTACTAAAAAGAAAAAAAAAAAAAATGCTAGCGGTTCTTATCAACCCTCCAGCACTAGCTCTGAGCTAGCTTTCTTGTCTGGTTTCCTTTAGCTGAATGCCATATTTCAGCCCTAAAGGACCACTTATGGTCTCCCAAACATGATATGAACCTCCATGTTCTCCCTGTAACAGACAGCAGGCAATAAGGTTACATCAGTTAATTCATTTCTCACTGCCATATAAAAGCATTTTGGACAAGACAACCCCTAATTTGCATCAAAAGAAGGGCAATTTTTTCTTTTCTATTTTTTTTCTTTCTTAACATATGTCAAAAGGTAAGAGAACTATTTCTGGTGTTCTTGTTTGAACCCAGAAATTCCAGCTAAACTGAGTCACAGGCCTTCGATATTTTAGATTAGGATAGTGAGGCCCAAAATGGATAACTAACCTACCTTCAATCACGCAGGAGCATCATACCTCAGTTGTAGAGGATTCATTTTTTTTCAATCTCGGTTCTCTTTGCACCGTATGTTGGCCAAAAATCTCAAACAATCACAATTTAGGAAAGTTCATTTCTCATGTCCCTGAGAATACTTGCATTATGGGAAGACCTAGTTAAAGTTGTTATTTCTAAACCATCTCAGGCTCTTAGCATTCAAAGTGGAGGAAAAGTGGCAGTAGAGAGCACCATAGTGAGCTCCTCTCTATCCCTCAGCACACAGCCTCTTCATCCACTGCATCTGGGTGATTTAGATTAAGCAAGCTGCACAGAAGCAAGAAAGTCACCCAGCAACTACATGGGGCTACATGGATATTTACCTGAGCCAAGGCAGAAGACAAGTGGGAGAGACTGGATCAGCCAGAACATACTCTGGGAAGTGGAGACCGGAGCTGGAGAACTTGAGGTAGTCAACGTTGCTGTCTGCTGTCAGCTGATAGTTCTTCTTACTTTCCTTTTCTCTCAGAGAAGTGGTGCAAGACGTTCCCCTCCCACACTAAAACTCCGGTTACTGACTTTTAGTCTAATTACCAAATTAATTATAAACACATTTTGTATAATTTTAATTTTTCAAAAATTTATTAAGATTTATAATGTAACTTAACATGTATGCTTGAGAAAATGTATGTTCTGTTGTGGAGTGGAATATTCTGTGTATGTTAGATGCACTCTGTTGGTAGTATTGTTTGCGTATTCTACCTCTGAATTGCTTTAGTTTTTGTGTTTTCATTTCATTATATTTAACATGGCTTCAACATCTTTGATAAGTTAAATGCTTATGCCTTCTTAGGGACTGTTTCTGTCAACTTATTTTGTGTATGCTGTGTGTGTGTGTGTAATTAGAAAAAATTTCAAATAAATCATTTTTTGGAAAAAATAGCTATCACTTCCTGTCTTTGTGAACAGGCTCTGTAATGGGACAGTTCTTCACCAGTTAGCTTGGCTATTTCTGATGCTAGGAATCAAGCTGCTTTGGTTTTCAAATGATTTGAGGGTATCTCCAAAGGTCCATATGCTGGAAGCTTGGCCCCCATTGTTGGGCCCCTGGGACCCTGTGTCAGTCCCAGTGTTGGTCACAATGTTGGGAGGTAGTAGAACCTTTAAGAAGTGGAGTCTACTGGGAGATAATTATATCATTGACAGTGCTACCCTTGGAAGGGATTAGTATAGTTCTCTAAGGAGCCTGGTTGGTTCCCACAAAAATGGGTTGTTATAAAAAAGAGTAAGCTTGGCTTCTGAATGCTTCTAACTTCCTGTCTCACCTTGTGGCTTCTTGTACACACACTCAAACCATGATGATGTCAACTGCCATGAGGCCTTCGCCAGAGGTTAAACAAATGGGGAACTTTCAGCCTCTGAAACTTAGATCTCAGGAAACCTTTTTTCTTTCTAAAGTACTCAGCCACAGGTATCTTGTTATAGCAACATAAAATGAACTAATACCCAGTCTAAAATGAAACTCAGATCTTAACTCTTTTCTGAACATGTACCTTGTCTGTGCCTCTGGGTGGCTTTCTCAATTTCCCCATGTAGAGAGCTGCTTTTGAAAGTTCTAATTTTCTCCTCTCATGCCCATTTCTCTATAAGACTTAGATGGTCTGTTTTTTGCCAACAATGATAGTCCCTTGCCACAGGTTTTTGTGGGTCTGTAGCCTCCCTGCATCTTTCACAGCAATGTCTACCACTTTCCCATTTGAGATCTGTGTTAGGCAAAATAGAGACCCACAGACAGATTAGAACTTTACTAATATTAGAAAAGACTTTAGCAAATTAAATTTAACAAAGTTTAATGGAAGGAAGTTTCTTTCATAAACTGAGCAACATCCAGAACTAGTGAACATTCAGAGAGCATGGTGTTACAATGTGTGCAGGGAATATTTTTGGATGGAAAAAGGAAAAATGATGCACAGAAATAGCTTTGTTGGTTACAGCTCAGCATTTGCCATATTTAGACAGGGACCTGATCAGCTGGCAGCTTGTGATTGGCTGAAGCTCAGCTCCTGTGATTGGCTATGACTCAACTATTTGTTACAAAACTATTCTACTAATTCAGGCTTTTAGTTTGTATAGTATTAAGTTGCAGTTCCTTATATAGGGACACCAAGGTATGGAGGTTGACATGGGCCAGATTTAAGTTAGTTTAACAAAAATAAATTTTCCTTGTTCCCTTTGGTGCATCAAGGGAAAGAACTAGGAACTTAACTCCTGCTTCTCCTGAAGCAAGTTTGTTGTAGCACTAAGGAGTGTATGGGACAAAGGTGAATAAAACTTTCCTACCATTTTGCTGATGGCTTTCTCTTGATCAGTCATTGGATTAGTTTTCATAAGCCCCAGAGTTCTATAAGGTTAAGTAATTTTGAACTGATTATTTGGTACAGGGTGAGAGATAGGGATCTATTTTCAATCTAATACAAGTGGACCTCCCAGCACTATTTGTTAGAAAGGTTATCTTTTCTTCAAAGTATATTTTTGGCTTCTATGTCAAGAATCAAATGGCTGTGGTTGCATTAATTTGTTTCTGTGTTCTCTGTTCTGTTTTATTGTTCGAAGTGTCTTTTTTTTTTTGATGCCAGAACCATGCTGTTTTTGCTAGGATGGCTTTGTAGTATATTTTTTTGTTATTTATTTATTTATTTATTTTTGGCTTTAATATTTTTTTATTAAAGATTGCAAAGATATATGATAACAAGAAATGAAGATGCTAAATAAAAATTTTTTATGTAACAGACTAATCAAAATACATTAGTTTGATATGATCTTCAAACATTATGTTCTTTCTCATTTTCTTGTAATATTTTTTAAATAATGTATGTAAAAATAAAACAAAGTTACATATTATAGTTGAGAAACTGTCCTCAAAATTTTATGATTTATAAACTCCTTGGTTTTATTAATTGATAAATATCATATACTTGTTGATTGTACCAGTTACATTTTCTAACAAAACTTCTCAAAGAAAAAAATATACTTATATTTGAAATCCAAAAGCAACTAAAAATATTCACATTTTTACGATCAGATTTTTCTGTTTCTATTTTATTATATCCCATACTTATTTTTATTATATTTTTATAAGCATAAGGATAGAATTTAACACCAATAGATATTTAATATTCTTCCCAAACAAATAACTATGAATTAAGTCAAGCATGCAATTTAAAGAAATCATAAGGCTGCCAGAGAAACTATCAATATGCCAAATGTGCACAATACTACCACATTCACGCTCATGTTTCTCATTTAATAGTGCACACATATATTTAAAAACATACCCCCCACACATATACACAATGCATATTTTCTACAATACAATATATACTTAGGTATAATAAAACAGTGCAGTGATGTGTGGAATGTTGGTGATTTGTATAATTTGAGAAAAACAAACATCATCTTTGAGGGAGTTGGAGAATTTGTAATATGTGCCAGATACTAAATGATATTAATGATTAAGTATAGTTATAATAAAATTTACTTAAAAATTAATATTTGTCATCAGTAGAAAATAGGTACAAAGATATATTGATAACATAACAACATTTGTCTTAACAAATTTCCAACCAAACAAGCTGTAGTGACAGAAAAGGAAGTTTGTAGAAAGCAGAGATGAAAGAGGAAAATGACAGATGGACCGCTTTGTAGTATAATTTGAAATCAGGCATGGTGATATCTTCAGCATTGATCATTTTACTTTGGAATGCTTTGACTACTCTGGGTCTTTTGTGTTTCCATATGAATTTTAGGATTTTTTTTTCTAGTTCTGTGAAGAATCTGACTGGTATTTTGATGGGGATTGCATTGAATCTGTAATTCTCTTTTGGTAATATAGCCATTTTGACAATATTAATTCTGCAGATTCATGAACATAGAAGATCTTTCCATCTTCTGGTGTCTTCAACATCTTTCTTCTGTGCCCTGTCATCTTTTCTTTTTGTGTGTGTGTGTGTTCTGTAATTTTGATCATAGAGGTCTTTCTCTTCCTTGGTTAGATTGATCCCTAGGCATTTTACTTTATTTGTGGCATAGGCTGTCTCCAAACTCAGAGCCCTCCTGCCTTAGCCTCCAGAGTGTTGAAATTACAGGTGTGTGTCACCACTCCTGGTGGTTTTCTAGTTATTGTAAACATGTGGCCTCCTGGAATCTTAAAAGGAGGCAGCACTTATTCCAAAGGAAAATTTTCCATAGAAGTGTTACAAATTCCTGGAATTACTTATTGCTTGATAACCTCAGCTTATTTGTTTTCTTTCTTTCTTTTATTTTTTTTTTGTACTGGGGATTGAACTCAGAACCTGCACTTGTGAGGCAGGTGTCAGCACCACTGAGATAATTTTTTTTTTCAGCTTTAATTGAGTTTATTGGTACATTTTAGGGATACAGTACAGTTACATTCATTGTTGAGATCTTGTACCTTTACATGACAGGTCTTGATTCTCATTTTTTCCCCTTACCTCTGCCCTCCCTTCACCCCCTCCTCCCCTCCCCATCTACAAACACTTTATTTTCATCTTTTCATTCTCTCACATTTTTTTCTTTTGTTTTATTTCTTAAACTTCTATCACTTTTTTTTTTACTTCCATCACTTTTGTATATTCAATTTTCTACATTCAGTTTATTGGGTTTGCAATACTTAATATGGTTCCAGTTTTTCTGATTAGACATTGACTGAAACACCTTCTGGTTTTAGCTTGCTACAAAAATGTACATTTTTAGATTAGTCACGGTGTTAAATTGTTATCAGATATATCTTGCAGAATCTGTCAAGATGATTATGTTTTTATCTCTTCTTTAAGCTGATTAATCAATAAAAGACAATAGATTTCTTAAATTTAAACCTTCTTTGCATTTTGCGGATAAGTCCTAATTCATTGCATTTAAAAATGTATACACGGGTTCTGTTTGATAGAATTTAAATTAAGACTATTAATTTTTATGACTGAGATTGGTCTGCATCAGGATGTGGCACACTTTTCCTGTGAAGGTTCAGATAGGGAAGGTTTTAGTCTTCATGGACCATACCATCTCCTTTGCAACTACACAAGCCTGCTGTTGTAGAGTGAAAGCAACCACAATCAACACATACATAAGTATTGTCTATGTTGCAATAAAACTTTATTTAAGAACACACAACTTTGAATTTCATTTAATTTTCCTAACCATTTAAAAATCTAAAAACTGTTCTGGGCTGCCCATGGATCACATGAAAATAAACGTCAGACTGGATTTAATCATGCACCATAGTTTGCTGATCCCTTGTCTCTTTGCAGGGGAGGGAACTCTTGTTTTGTGTCTTGATGTCCCCAAAAAGCCTCATGTGGTCATAGGCAGGGCTTTCTCAGAGGTGGCTGAATCAAGAGTGTGTGATGCTGGGGTAAAGGGTGTGTGGTTACTAAATTAATCCACAGATTGGTTTGGCATTGCTGTGATCCTGGTAGCACAGATAGAACATGAGAGGGGCAGAAAGAAACTGCTAAATTTCCTAGCTTGTTTGCTCTCACCTGCCTGCTTGCTATGGACTGTTTCTCCTCTGAGATGCCCCTCTGCCATGCCACCTGCCTTGGAGCCAGCTGACTATGGACTGAAACCTCTATAGACTGTGAGCCAAATAAACCTTTCCTCCTTTAATGTTGGGTGTTGGGTACTTTATCTCAGCAATTAGAAAATTAACTAAGATAGAATTCATCTTACTTTGGCTTTGGAATCTGTTCAATGAATTTGGAAGCTTCCTACTGTTTCTCTGCTTGGAGACTGTTGAAGTAACATGGGAATTCTTGTGAAAGTGGTAGATGTAGACTAATAATGACTATATAAGTGTGGTGGACTTCAGGGAATAATATCACCAAATATCTTTTCCATTTTTTCTAATTAAAGAAGTTCTCCTAATTGGAACTTTCAATTTAGGAATTATGGTAGTCATAACCAGAGCAATCCATTGAATTCTTTCTGCCACAGGTTGACATTTAGTGGGCAACATGATCTTATTTGTGTTTCAGAAACACAAACTGTGTTTTATTTATTTATTTAGTTTTTTGAGACAGGGTCTCACTATGTAGTTGAGACTGACCTGGAACTCACTATGCAGCTCAGGCTGGTCTCGAACTCACAGTGATCCTCCTGCCTCAGCCTCCCAAGTGCTGGGATTACAGGCGTGTGCCACCACACCGGGCCACCATAATACCGTTTGTTAAGAACGTACAAAGTAAAATCGGTGAACAATACTTTATTAACGGAAATTTACAAATGGATGACATAAAAGGAAATGTGTACAGGGGATGAGATAACCTGTTACAAACGTGACACCTAGCTTCTGAAATAGGTTTAGTGGAATTTGTTACTATTGAACATAAGCTTTGTGTTTATATTAGTGGACTAGTCCAACAAACTTTTATTGGAGGATTTGAAGTTCATTAAGTATGTAAAACTAAAAAAAGGGAATGACCCTTGACCCTAAATATCTCATTGATCAGTTGGAGAAACAGTTAAGATAGTATTACAACAATGGATAGACAGGAAAAACAATAGTATCACAACAACTGGTCATAGTAGTACATGTATATAATCCCAGCACTCAGAAGGTTGGGGCAGGGGGATCTCAAGTTCAAGGCCATCCTGGGCAGTGTAGTGAGTTCAGGGCCATCTGGACTACAGAATGAGATCCCATTTCAAAAAACAAAAACAAAACAATAACAACCCAAACCTCACAAGCTATATACAGTAAGTCCCTGATTTGTGAACAGTACAGTTGTGAACTTTCACAGGTGTACTAAGACTTACTCTGTCTACTTACAAACTAATCCAACTTATGAAAAATTCTCTCTGAGTGGAACTCGTCCAAGTCAGGGACTTACTAATTGCCATTGGATGTGGTAAGTGCTACCACAAGTTACTTATGTACTGCGTGCTGTAGGAGTGGATATGGAGAACTGTTATATTAATCTTTGGGTGGGAAGTTTTGGAAGGCTACACAAAGAAAGGCTGCACGGTCTGACCCTTGAAGTAAGACGGGAAAGGGATGGAAAAGACAGAAGGACATTTCTGGCAGAGGACATGACAGAGGCAAAAGTGTGGGAGGTGGAAATGATTTGGTATATCCATGGCCCATGTTAATTTTGCATGGCTGGAGCCTGGGGAGCAGAAAGAGAGGAGCCCAGAAGACCTGATGGGTCAGATAGCTAAGGAGTCTCATCCCATAGGAAAAGTTCTCCAATAGAGAAATGAAATGATGAAATCTGTGCCTTAGAAAAATTGTTATTTATGTGACAGCAGCCCAGGTAATACATGATAAAGAGAGTGGGTTTGCAGAGAGAGGGTGTGCTCGAAAAGTAGCTGGATGGAGGGGACATGGATGAAAGGAGCTGTATAGAGAAGTTGGAAGCACTAAGACCTAATAAGTGTTAGATGTGGAGGGGAATTGGGGTGAGAGGAAGAAAGAAGGAGGAATCAACAGTTTGGCTACTTACTCAGATGAGTGATTTGGTTTTGCTGCAACTCAGTTTCTTAACTTGTGAAATGGAGGGTAATTGTATCACTTCAGAAAGTCGATGAGTTTTAAGTGATTTAGTACATGTAAAACATAGCACACACTCAATAGATTTAATAATTATGGTTTACGGTGGATCACTAACGAGCACAGGGGAAACTGAAGGAACAGAAGGTGGCAAGATCAGGGACAGATTCATGAGTTTCATTTTGGGCACCTTGAATTTGAGGTGACTTTTGACATCTGTGAAGAGATGACTCACAAACAATTGGAAATATTGGTTATAAAAAAAGCGTTGAGATTTACATGCATTTAAATGTTCTCGGACAGATAATATAAATAATTATTAGCCTTCCACAAGCTCTCATAAGAAAAAAAACTCAATCTCTCATTTGCATTGATATGGTCATGTTGATGACACAGAATTGATCCAATGCAAACCCAGAGATTTGTGTAGGACTCTTCAGAACTGACTGAACCTATCAGCCAGCAAGAATAAACCCATTTCTCTATGATTTGTCAAAGTCTGAGGGTCTTCAGAGAATGTCCTAGTCATTGTATTGCCTCTTCAAATTAGAACTCAGGACTTTTATTAATAATTCTTTATCAAAATGAATTAACATTTTAATATTTTGACAAACCACAAGGACTCCTTACACCTGGATGGGAACTCGGTAAAATGAAAATGTATACAGCTATTTATTATTTTACCAACCAGTAAATAATTCCATGCAATCTCCCAAATACTTTTTCTGTTCCTGTTATCATTATGATATTAGGAGTGGAAACGTTCAACATTTCTCTCCTTTTGTAATAATTCATGAGACGTGTGTATGACTTGGATCCCTTGTAGGCTATTAAACCAACTCTAGCCAGATGCAGAAAGCTCTATCCAAGCTTCTCTATTTTATTTTATGTTTTTAACAATGCCAAAAATTTATTTGAAAAGTATAGGGTGAATGGATATAGAGAAAACCAATTATGCAGAGCAAACTGTGTCAAACAAAGAGAAAAAGAGAGTAAAAGCAAAAATAAAACAACACTCCTTCTCTGTGAAATGTGTACAGGCCATCTTGGGAATTCAAACTAGTAGCTTTCCGGGATGGCCAGTCTTCTTTTATGCTGTCCATATCTTGCGGATGCTCCTGGGAAGTTCTACATACGGGGGTCTTTGTGTTGTCCTGTCCTGGGATCTTGTAATTGACAGGTCCCATTCACCCCCACCCCACCGGCTTGGCCACTCCCTATCTCCTAAATCGTATTCCCCTGAGAAACATAAAAGGGTCTTTAATTTCATGTTCAATTCCAACAGGAAAGTTGAGGGGCTATCCAGATGACAATGGAATTAATGTGTGAATGTACTTTGAGCTATACTGAGTAGTTTTAAAATACTAGTATATTCAATTATTCATTCAAAAGGTATTTGTGATGCACCTGTTATGCGTCAAGCAGAGTGCCAGGTGCTGTGAATCCACAGGAGGGAAAAGGAGGCAGTGTGGCAGAACACAAGTGCACCAATTATTATGTCCACATCCTATCTTCCCAGCTTTCTGAATTTGCTAAGGCAGTTAGCCCCTAAGCCTAATGCAAACTAAAATTAATTTTCATTTTAAAGGGCTGCTCTGTGGACAAAAACGTTCAAAGCATCGAGTGCAGCAGCTGGGACAAAGTAAGCCCTCAATGCATTGTTACAGGCTCCCTGTCCTCAAGGCCCTTCCTGTCCATGCTCAGCGTTGACACCACCCCCTGTCCTCTCCATCAGGAGATGGGTGTAATCAGCATGGTGTGGAGATATCAGAAGGAACAGACAATGTGTGTAACAAAACATGAGAGGCTGCATGACTGGGAGTTAAAAGTGTGGTATATACTATTGATTTAACATAATATCAGCTGCATTTCTGTTGGAAGAAGCTTCTTTTGTAAGTTAGGATTAGCATTTTATGAAGGTTCCAGGCTTGTAAGAACAACTTAAAAGGATCCAAAACTTTATCATGAGCAGGTATATTCTTGCAATAACATTTTATTTTACACCCACACCAACCCTACAACACAGAAATTATTACCTATTCCCTTCTTAAGATGTGCCCAAGGTCACGTAACTAAGAAACCCACGTTTCTGCTTGTTATACTTCATACTTTTTTTTTTTTTGCAAGCTTCATTTTACAACCAGTAGAGGCTGTTACTAGTTATTCGTGAGACAAATATACAAGTGAAAGGGAATCCAGGGAAAAGTGAAACAGGAGAAAATGAACAGATCTAGAAGAAAATATAGCTCAGCCATTTTTTTTTCTTCTCCAGGTAGACCTAAGACCTGCTTTGTGAAGACATAGCCCAGGCTAGCCAGGATTTTCCTGTTCATTCCGATGTCTAAGGTTGCTTGGTCAAATTATTCACTTGTGTAGTTTAGACTGTTCTGCAGATTTTAAAAAATAATATTTTTAACGAGCTTCATTTTCTTCTAGGGCGTATGAGATGCCCCAATGTCTGCAGGCACTTCTGTCCTGGTTTGCCAGCACTTTCCACTAGAGGGCCCTGTCTGCCCCCAAGACTTCAATTTTGATACATGTTTTACAAAACCGGAACATCTCAGTCTGTCGCAAGATCCTGTTCCGTGGAAAAATACTTTGAAAAAAAGAAAAAGAAAAAGAAAAATACTTTGATTTTAAAAGAACTGTTGGTCACAGTCTAGCTCACTTGCAACGTTGTAAAGAGAAACAGATCACACCCCCTTTGCAGAAGGAGAATCTGAAAACAGCTCTAAGGAGAGGTGTGAGTAGTTTATGTCTGCATTAAGTTAGAGGACATTCATAGAAGAGACAAGGGCAGCGTGGTCCTGAGCCCAAAGGCTACTATAGGAATTCCAGGGTACTGACTTCTTCCTAAGTTTGCTCTTCTGTTTAAAGAGCTCTAGTTTCTGATTTTTTTTTCTTCCTGTTTTTGTTTACAGAGCATTAGGACACTAGGAATTTAACTGAGTGAGCACATCAGGGGCCAGAAAGGGGAAGGTTCAGGTAAAGGGTGTTCAGTTCATCTGCAGGGTGAGGAAATACTTTATTTCATCCTGTTCTGTGTCACTTTGAAACATCTCTCTCCATCCTTCGTGACCAGGTCTGTACCTTTCCTTCTGTCTCTCCTTGGGACATCGCTTCCTTCTGCTGGCTCAGTGCTTCGCCTGACCCCTTGGGTGGTCTAATTCTGAAAAATGCTCTTCCACTCTGGCCACTTCTGATGCCTACATCCTTGTGTTTAATGCTTGCTGTTCTTTGGTTCCACTATGCTTATTGGCTTCTTCCTCTGCTTCTAATGCATCCCTTCTATTTGAGCTGAAAGGTCGTTTTCATTTCTAGTCATCAGCATTTATTGCCAACATACAGGATACAAGGCAGTAAGTTGGATGGTGGTGGGCGCAAAGGAAAATAAAGCAATGAGTAAAAGCCATGGGTCTTGTCCTTAGGTAGTGTATGATCCATACTTAGGTAGTGTATGATTATTTTTGCTGTTTAAGTCAGAACAGAATGAGTTAAAATGATAGAAAAAACAAAAGAGAAGAAAAGAAGTGCAAAAACAGCTGTGGTTAATTTTAACTGGTGACACCCAGGGACGCTTCGTAGAAGAGGAGCTGTTTGAGGTGGATAGTGAGAGACAGATAATTGGACTGGGTGGGCACACAGTCTGGCAGAGGTACCCAGTTACACACAGGCAAGAGACTCTGGGGCTGTGAGTAGATTTGGAATACCCCCCCCCCACAGATCCAGGCTTCTATTTTTCACGTGTTCCTTGCTTGGAGGCCATCTGTTTTCCTCCTTCATCCCATCCTTCCCATTCTTTGAGGACCACCTTTAGCTCTACCAACTGTTAGGTCTTTTCTCATCTGTTCCAGGTTATGCCAACTTGCAGTCACAGTTCATCACTTAACCATCGTGTTTGTGTTGGAACTGCCTGTCAGCTAGATCAGGAAAGGGACCAGTGCCTAACTTATACCCTGGGGTAGTGATAGCGAATCTTTTAGGGCTTCCAGTGATACAAAGAGCCCTGTGCAGCATGCGTGCCACAGAGTTGCCACCACTGCCTGGGGCCTTGCAGCTCTACCAATGGTAATTAGTGCTAGAAGAGGCTACGGATCCATTTATGGGACTGACAACCTTATTCTGCCAAATGCAAAAGCTGCCCAGACTAGAATTTAGCTGGTTAGGGTTGCTAACGTAAAAGGCCAACGTTTCCTCAAATGATCACAAGATAGTCTTGCTCAGTTTTGGGTGATTCTGCCTTATGACTAGCCAGTTTGTGTGTGTGTGTGTGTGTGCGTGTGTGTGTGTGTCTAGGGGCTGGTGGGGGGAGCACACTCAGCCTTAGCTTGAAGCTCATGCCTCTCTGATCTGAGCCTTAGGAACTGATGGGGACCCACTTTCATCTCCTGCATCATCATTTCTCAAGTTCCCTCTTGCAGATAACTCTGCTTTCTTTAAGGTCTCTTGTTTTGATGGCTGGGTTACAACCAGTTCCTCAAAGTGGCAGAAAAATAGTTGCTCAATTGCTTTTGGAGACTGGGAGTCCTGGGCATGGCATGTTCTCGTTGAAGCTACTTGGAAGGGCACAGAAGGGAAGCTTGGCCAGTAAGAGTATTTTCTAATGTTCTGTTTGGAGAGCATCTCTGCATGGCCAAGCCCTGACAGCATCCCACATATCGTGGTCATCTATGTTTGGGCTGGTTGAGTCAGTTGTGCCATGCACAAAGGTTCCTGGGAAAAGGAATGGGAATGGGCTGCTCATCACTCACCACTCCATGCCTGTGAATAAGCGACTGCATCTGCAAGTTGCCGTAAGGATAGTGGAGGCCAAATACCAGGGGTCCTCAAATATGGTGAGTGTGAGCAGAAGATCCCAGCTGATGTGCCATGGCTTGATGCAGATCTGCAAAAGATTGATCCTTTTTTCCAGCAGCTGCTACACAGGGTTGTCATGTCTAGCCATGAGAATCCTCCACCCACTTGCGACCTCTGGACAAGAGCAACTTTGATTTGCAACATCCCAGTAAAAGCTGGACAGAGAAGGTCTAGGTCCAGGGTGCCTGATGTTATTTGTGCTTGTAACTCGGTTGAACCCAGTAGGCCATAAAACTCTTAGTTTCTACATGTGCTGTGATGTGAAGAAGTTTGGGAAGCACTGTACATGGGAACGTCCCTTGTCATTCATCCAAAAGGGAGCTCATCACAAAGGGCAAGGTCCATGAGTCCATCGGGCCACACACTATGCCCAGCAACAGCTTCCAGAAAGAAAATGCTATCCACCAGCCTAAATCACCATCTCATAGCCCGAAACCTTGGGAGGTTTGTTGCCCAGTGTTTTGGTTTTCTTCATCTGTACACAAAAGAGAAAAGTGACAACTTGTTAGCTGAAAGGTATGGCTGAGGAAATCCAGTTCCATAGGAACCCAGGTAAATGTCTTAGACTTCCCCAGTCCTGGGGAAATCTGGAGTAGCAGGGCCTTACCTTTGCTGAGTCCTGTGCCTCACTCCAGTCACCCCATTTGGGAGCACTTGGGGATGTCGCAGCTCCAAAAAGAGCATTAGGAAGCAATGGGGATGCGTGGAGCTGATTTTGATTACAGCTTGGATAACATCCAGGCTCAAGTTAGTTGCACTCTGAGTTCCTAGTTGAGTCCTAGTTCTTTTTGTACCCCAATAATTCCACTTTCACCTACACATAGTGACAAATTGCCACTGGCATCCAGTCACCAATAATGTCTTATAAGATCTGGTCATTTAGAGGGCTGCATACAATCTTCTCATTGGCTTGAGGAGTCTTGGGTTTTACATGACATAGTGATGGATGGGGTATACCAGAGTGGTTGAAGCAGATAGGAAAACAGAGATAACACGCTGGGCACAGTGGCACATGCCTGTAATCCCAGCACTCTGGGAGGCTGAAGCAGCAGGATCAAAAACCTGAGCCCAGCTTGGGCAACTTAGTGACATCCTCACTCAAAATTAAAAATAATCCACTCCATGCCTGTGAATAAGCGACTGCATCTGCAAGTTGCCGTAAGGATAGTGGAGGCCAAATACCAGGGGTCCTCAAATATGGTGAGTGTGAGCAGAAGATCCCAGCTGATGTGCCATGGCTTGATGCAGATCTGCAAAAGATTGATCCTTTTTTCCAGCAGCTGCTACACAGGGTTGTCATGTCTAGCCATGAGAATCCTCCACCCACTTGCGACCTCTGGACAAGAGCAACTTTGATTTGCAACATCCCAGTAAAAGCTGGACAGAGAAGGTCTAGGTCCAGGGTGCCTGATGTTATTTGTGCTTGTAACTCGGTTGAACCCAGTAGGCCATAAAACTCTTAGTTTCTACATGTGCTGTGATGTGAAGAAGTTTGGGAAGCACTGTACATGGGAACGTCCCTTGTCATTCATCCAAAAGGGAGCTCATCACAAAGGGCAAGGTCCATGAGTCCATCGGGCCACACACTATGCCCAGCAACAGCTTCCAGAAAGAAAATGCTATCCACCAGCCTAAATCACCATCTCATAGCCCGAAACCTTGGGAGGTTTGTTGCCCAGTGTTTTGGTTTTCTTCATCTGTACACAAAAGAGAAAAGTGACAACTTGTTAGCTGAAAGGTATGGCTGAGGAAATCCAGTTCCATAGGAACCCAGGTAAATGTCTTAGACTTCCCCAGTCCTGGGGAAATCTGGAGTAGCAGGGCCTTACCTTTGCTGAGTCCTGTGCCTCACTCCAGTCACCCCATTTGGGAGCACTTGGGGATGTCGCAGCTCCAAAAAGAGCATTAGGAAGCAATGGGGATGCGTGGAGCTGATTTTGATTACAGCTTGGATAACATCCAGGCTCAAGTTAGTTGCACTCTGAGTTCCTAGTTGAGTCCTAGTTCTTTTTGTACCCCAATAATTCCACTTTCACCTACACATAGTGACAAATTGCCACTGGCATCCAGTCACCAATAATGTCTTATAAGATCTGGTCATTTAGAGGGCTGCATACAATCTTCTCATTGGCTTGAGGAGTCTTGGGTTTTACATGACATAGTGATGGATGGGGTATACCAGAGTGGTTGAAGCAGATAGGAAAACAGAGATAACACGCTGGGCACAGTGGCACATGCCTGTAATCCCAGCACTCTGGGAGGCTGAAGCAGCAGGATCAAAAACCTGAGCCCAGCTTGGGCAACTTAGTGACATCCTCACTCAAAATTAAAAATAAAGAAAGGACTGGGGATGTAGCTCAGTGTAAGGCTCTGGTCACACACACACACACACACACACATACACACACACAGAGTCACACACCAGAAAAAACTTACCCCAGCAGGGTACTGCACTGTTGAATAAATTGTTTTCAATGACTCATCCTTGGAGGGTGACACCTGGAAAACACCCATTATGTCTTCATTGAGGGAGCTGAGGCCAAATCTTAGGAGTTTCTTTTCCTAATTCTGCCCCACCCATAACCCCTTTCCAGTCCCACTTTTCTACGTGGCCTCTTCTCCTGGCCTCAGCTCTGGTTCCATCTAACTTTGCAGAGGATATGGAGCAGCTGGAGGTGTTGAGGAGGGTGGCACTTGGGCAGAGCCTTGGGACACACACACACACACACACACACACACGCACAAAACCAAAAACCAAACCAAAACAAAAAGCCTTCAGGAACCAAGAGCAAAGGTCTGTATGGTTCAGACTAAGTCTCAGGATTTCAGCTTTTTGTGGCTGTATGGATCCAGCGTCACTATCAGGCCAAGCACAGAACTTGACCAGGAGGTTTCCCCCTTCTCTCCCTGCTGACCGTAAGGAAGGAAGCTGGTGGAGCCACACTGATGGCGACCCAGGTGGAGGTGAGGTAGGCAGGGGAAGGAGGTGTGGCGGAGAGCGACGCAAGCTGTTCCTGCTACTACAGCAGGCAGTGTAGTTCAGGGAGCCTCTCTGCCAGGGTCGCCTTGTGCCCTCTCTGTCAGGGTTGTGACCTGTCCGTCAGGTCGGTGGCCCCATAACTGCTCTCATCTGGCACTATGGACTCTCTTGTTGCTTGGTACCTGAAAGAGGGTGCTTCTTAGTCATATGCAAGCTTGAGCTCAGCGTGGGTAACTTAGTGACATTCTATAGCACCTAGCTACATCTCCACTTTTATTTTTTATTTTGAGAAAGGATTTCTTCTAACCCATAGCCAGACCTCCATGTAGAAGCTCAGGGCTTCAAACTGTGAAGGCTGCCATAGAATGACATTAGCCACATTCTTGTCCTCTTAGAGACTCACGGCATCATTTACCTGATATGGCGTTTCCAGGTTAGACACCTTCCCTAGATTTTTGCTGTAGCTGCTTTATAGGTAGCAAAAAGCAGAAGGCAATGGTTGCCATGGCTTCCATCCTGCTGGTGGGGTAGGTATCCATGAAGTGGCATCCACTCACCTTGGACTGGGAGATTTCATCATAGATCTTGGCCTCTGCTGGCTGGGTGTCTTTTGAGACCTTGGCACATGTGTATATTATGTTCTCTGAGGCAGCATCTGTCACAGATAAACATGGAATGACAGTATGTGAAAGGTGGGTAGGTTTTTAGAGATGATCTAATCATTTTGTTTGTTTGTTTTACCCTCTGTTTAATTAAAATGAGAAATTCTAAACAATTAGTTTTTAAAATATCTTTTCTGTTTCCAGAGTTGCATGTACATATCAGATAGTCCACTTGGCATTAGCCAGTTGCTTGCTTGCCCCCTTGTATTTTTGACGGAAGAGGTAACATTCATATAAGAAAGTCCATAAGACACGTACAGGTTAACAAATAGCTGTAAGGTGAGTAAAAGAAGCAGAATATTGCCCATCATACCGAATAAAGGAAGGCTGAATTATGCAGCATGTACTCTGCTCAATGCTGTGTTTGTTTTATTTTATTTTACTTTAATTTTTTTTGGCTCCAGTGATTGAACTCATGACCTTGCCCTTGCAAGGCAGGCAGCAGAACCATTGAGCTAAATACCTGGCCCACCAATGCCGTGTTTAGAAGGTGCTCCAAGTCAAAGTGTCTTCCGTTTCACCTGTCTAGCTCTGGCTGTTTCATTTCTTGGCTGTGAAGTGTCTGTCCCATAGATACTTTAATTAATTAATTCTGCTGTTTATGGCAATTTGACTCGTGTCCAGTCAAGCCATTCAAGAATGCTGCCATTTGAATACTTTTCACTAGTCTTCTGGCCAGGGTGTAACCCAGTGTGGCATTGCAGTCATGAGGTATTTATAAACCAACTTGTACCCCATTAGTGTCCATTTGAGCTCCACATTGTGGCCAAGTTTTCCGTACCGTCGGACATATAAATTTTTGTCCGCCTGTTGTGAATTCCAGTATGTTCCTATGCCATCTCTCTTGAAATAGGCAGCCACCAGGTCAGGGCTCTGAGCGAACCTCCAGGAGCAACGAGTGTCAGCTGGAGGGGCGCCTGAAAGACGATGGAAGTCACGTGATTTCCGGTTGCAGCGGCCCTCTTTCCGTGAGACAGCAGAAGACATCCTAGCATGATATAGTCCACCTCCTCATATTTGGGACCTGCAGATTGCTGGGGATGAAATCATACAGTGCTGGCGACCCTTATGCAGCAGTGCTTTTCACTCTATGTTTTTACGCGGGGATCTTCATTCTTGCCTTGGCCCTTCTTCCGAGGTCGAGCCTCTGGGGTTGCGGAAGTGCAGAGTGCTGTCAGGTTTCTGTATGGCTGGCATTTCACTAACTGGAGGGGTCACCTGGTCCATAGGAGCTCTGCAGCTGGATGTGCAGCCCGTGCTTTCCCGCTGTGGTACATTGGAGAAACCAAAGCAGCCTGTGAGGTGATCTAATCTTACATTCTTTTTATGATGAAGAGATAAAGTCTTCCCACCCTATTGAGATGGATGCTTAGATCTTTGCACGGTCACTCCCCTTTTCCTAGATGGCTGGTGATATAGGACCTTCTCACTCAGGCTTCTAGCACAGCTCACTGGGAATTCTCGACTCTGACTGAGTCCAGCTTGTGTGGGTGGTCAAAGATAGCTTTTATTCCAGCAGTCTTCCTTAGTGTCTCTTGTTCTTGGTATTGATGACTTTGCACGTCAAGTTGACCGTTTCATTTTCGTTGCTGAGCTTAATACTCTCTGCACATCGTGTTGCATTATTCTGGCTCATGCCGTATTGGAACTAGCTGTACTGTGTTAAGTACATAGTAGATGCTTCACAGACATTCTTGCTTTTTTGCTTGATCCACAGAGTGAATAAACATTTTTTAAGCTTCTTCTCTGTCAGGCTCCATGTGAGGCCCCAGAGAAGCAAAGACAGGAGAGATGAGTCAGTGCCTTTATAATTCTTGGTGTCACCAACCCAGGAGGTGGTAAGGTGGTGGATGGGCATTGTCATGAGGCGGAACAAGGGACTTCGCCTCTCCACCTTAGATAAATGATTTCAGTCTCTGCAAGAAAGAAGATGCATCCCCATACCTTCTGGGACATCTTACCTTGCTTTCTCTTGCGCAGATGGCATAGTAACACTGCCGGTAGAATGAGAACAGCCAAAAAGATTATGGCCAGCCCACTCAGCAACCCGGTGTGGTGAGTATGGGAGTCTGTTGTGATGTCTGAAAATAGAAGCAGCAGTGATTCTTGACTTTCAGAAAACAAGTCCAAGATGTGTGCTAGGTTTGTTCACAGTCAGTACCACTATGAAAACATGGAGAGATAAAGGTCTTGGGGAAACTGTGCTTTCTGCTACTAAAAGTCAGAAACTGCGCCAGAATCTAGTATTCTGAGGGTTCAAAACACCCTGAAAGGCTTAGCATCCTGTAGAAGGCTTTGGCATCTTCCCCAGTGAGATTCCTGGGAGGAAATGTTCCCTGGAATGAGGATCAGCATAAGGGAGGCACATTCCCCTGGAGATAAAGCCAAATTCAGGCCCTGAAGTTCGAGAGAGTGATTTCTGAGACTCAGGAGGAGAGAGGGCTTTTATACCTGCACAGAGCTGCTGGGAAGAAATAGAGCTGGAATTGTTGCTGACAGGGTTCTGGGCTGTACATGTGTAATTCAGCCCTTGGTTCCCAGGGGTCTGGATGACTTGAAGGACATTGCTTTCTGTTTCTAGGGAATTCCAGCTGTATGACACATTCTTTTCTTCTTTCTCCACAGAGCATGTCAGTGTGACATTACAGGTACCATTCATAGATGTCATTAAACTCTGTGTAATTTTTGGCTTCCCAAGCCGACCTACAAAGGAAAAACACATAAACCCATGGTGAGCTTACATCAGCTTTTGAGGACCAGTTACTGAAATTTTAGAAATTTTGCAAGATAGTTGTTAAATATAGGTGTCATTAAAGATCAAATTATAAAAACATTAAATAAATTATATTAAAAATGAGGATTGAGCTAGGTATGGTGGCACATGCCTATAATCTCAGCACTCAGGAGGCGGAGGCAGGAGGATCACTGTGAGTTCATATCCAGCCTCACGAGGCTACATAGTGAGTTTAAGGGCAGCCTGAACTGCATAGCAAGACCCTGTCTCAAAGCAAAGCAAAACAAAACAAAAAATGAGGATTAAAAACTCATCACTTTTAATCAGTTTTTGACATTGTACTATTGCCTATGCTCTTGAGGTGAATTATGTCTATTGTATTTGTTCTTTATAATGATATACAAATGGGAATATCCTTCCAACTGTGCATGTCTTAAACTCAGACATAAAGGAATATTTATATTACAGAAATTGGCAAATGTTATAAATTTTGGCTTAACTTATTTATTGATTTTTGCTCTGAATCAAGGAAGCAATGGAAGAAAAATTACTAATGAGTATTAAACTTAAAAGGATATCATATCTGTAGCCATTACATTGTGAGCAGCAAAAACAAAATTAAGAAATAATTTTCTAGTATTTGAAAACCATTACATATGTATACTTGGTAAAGAATTCATTTATATCATTAACAAATGAAGTTTGAATATATATGCCGCTGTTAAATCACTTTTTTCTATTGATGTTGGAACTACACTAATTGCAATTACAAACATAGGTTGGTTAACAATATACGTTTGGCAAAAATCAATGAGAACATTTTGTGAAAATGGCTCTACAGAATTTGCAATAAAGACAATTATATTTTTATTATCATTTATGAAATTGGCTACTAAACATCCTTTATATCAGTAAAATTTATATTAAATATAAATTATATATACATATACACATTTATGAGCACACATACAAGAAGACAATATCAGCAAGTTGAACGTTTATCAGCACACTATTGCATACAAAAAATCTTAAATTTTTTTGGTTTTGTTTTCTGGTGTATATATGTATTTTAAAGTAAATATGGTAAAAAGCTATAATATCATTAATAGTCCATTAAAATATTTTTCCAAACAAATCAAAAGGTAAAATATAGAAGTCGTAGAAAAATAGTATTGCTATATGGTTAAAATGCAAAACAAAAAAGACTATTGAAAACTTCAGTAGGGAATAGCCAAATCACTTAATAAAGGCAAACTTATCAAAAAAACCACACACTTCTAAAGAAACCTTAAAGGCTAGGAGTACATGGAACAATGTATTTTGATCGCTGAAAGAAACTAAATACCAAACTTACATTACCATGTCCAGCAAAGCTATTCTTCAATTCAAAGGAGAAATAAAGTCTTCCCAAGATAAAAGTAAATAAACTCATGATCACTAAGCCAGAATTGAACAAGATATTTAAAGGAATCTTACACAAAGAAAAGAAAGACTAGATTAGCTATTGAGGATTAAGAAGGAATAAAACATTAGAAAACAGGACCAGGGATGTAGCTCAGTGGTTCTGCTGCCTGACTTGCAAGTGCAAGGTCCCGCGTTCAATCCCCAGTATGAAACATTAGAAAACAAAATGACAAGAGTTAATATGTACCTCTTTATAATAACTCTGAATAGAAATGGTTTTAACTCTCCAATTAAAACATGAAAACTGGCTGGGTGTGGTGGTGCATGCCTGTAATCCCAGTACTTTGGAGGGTGAGGCAGGAGGATTGCCACAAGTTCGAGGCTAGCCTGGGCTACTAAAAAAAAAAAGAATGGCAGATTGGACTAAAAAACAAGATCCAATTCTTTGTTGCAGGCTGAAAATGAAAGAATTGAAAACAAAATTCATGCAAATGGAATCCAAAAACAAGGAGTAGCTATACTCATATCCAAAAAAGCAGACTTTGACAAAGTCAGAATGACTCTAAAATTAAACAGTTTCTTATTTCAACAGTAGAAAAGATAACTCCAATAAGCCCCCATTGAAAGCCTACTCCATAACTGAAGTATCAAACCCCCTTAAACTGTACTGCTAAAAGAAAGGGAGTAAAAGGCATTTACTAAACTTTCACAGGAAGACTGAGAATAAATCTGGCAATGCTTAAGTATATATCAGACCATACCAAATAGTACTACCTAGCCTCAATATTTAACTGAAAATTTAAACTGAAGACAAATGGCCCCATTTTTTCAATCAGTGAAAAGTGAATTGTATACTCACTAAGAAAATAAACACATCCAGATCTGTGTTGTAGTTGTCAGTGGATCATTGAAAAAAGAGGGGGGCTGTCAAAAATTCTTTGTATCAAATAACAGTGGACATACAACATCCCAGAATGTATGAAATATAATAGAGACTGTTCATAGAGGGATATTGTAGTGATGAGTGCCTACATAAAAAAAAATCAAAGCCTTCTCAAATAAATAGCATAATAATGTATCTCAAGCTCTTAGAACAAATCAAAAGCAAGCTCAACAGAAGGAAATAATAATAAAAAACATTAGATCTGAAATTAATGAAATAGAGGCTAAAAACTAATATACAGGATTTATGAAACCAAGGTTGGTTTTTCATTTTATGGAAAAAATTAAAAAAAATTTTTTTTGGTACCAGGGATTGAACTGAGGCCCTCACATTTGCTAGGCAGGCTCTGTGCCACTGAATTACATCCCTGATGAAGGTTGGTCTTTTAAAGGTTAAATAAGATTGAAAAACCTTTAGCCAAACTAACCAAAGGAGAGAAAAAGACTCAGATCAGCGTGATTAGAGATGAAAAAGGAAGTATTATAACACCACCACTAAATTCCAGATGATTAGAGAATATTTGAAAACCTATACTTAAATAAATTGGAGAATCTAGAAGAAATAGAGTTCGTCTAAATCATATGAACTGCTAAAATTGAACCCTCAAAATGTAAATTAAAAAAATACTAGAGATCAATCTATTAGAGTAACAAGCAGTGAGACTGAAGCAATAGTAAAGTCTCCTAACCCTGAAAAGCCCAGGGTGAGATGAGTTCACTATTAAATTTTGCCAGAACTCTAAAGAACTAACGGAAGAAACTAACGGACTCATTCTATAAGTCCAGTATCACCCTGATACCAAAACCAGAGAAGGATGCAATAAAAAAGAAAACTAGAGAGTGATATCCTTGATGAAGATAGATGCAAAAATCTGTAATAAAACACTCAAAAACCGAGTTCAGCAATGCACTAAAAGATCACACACCACGATCCAGTTGGTTTCATTCCAGTGTTGCAGTGATGGCTCAACATGCATGAAGAAATAAATGTAATACACCACATACACAGAATCAAAATAAAAATCACAGAAAAGCCTTTGATAAAATTTATCACCCTTCATCATACAAGCCCCGAAGAAACTACATATTGAAGGATAAGAGCCCAATACAATAAAAATTTTGTGTGACAAACCCATAGGCAACATTATACCTTATGGGAAAAAACAAAGCTTTTCCTCTAAAATCAGGAACAAGGCAACATTGTTCTCACCACTCCTACTCAGTATGGTACTTGAGATATTAACTACAGAAATTAGACAAGAGGAAGAAATAAAAAGGATACAAATAGGAAAGGAATAGGTCATTATCTTTATTCATCAATGATATGATCCTATACTTTGAAGACCCTAAAGATGAAACCAAAAGAATTTCAGAACTAATAAATGCAGCAAAGTATGAGGGTATACAATCAACATGGTAGCTTTTTAAAAAATTAATTTTATTGGTACATTTTAGGTATACAATATAATGACATTCATCACTGGATAACATATCTCGATTCTTATTTTTCCCCATTTCCCTTCTCTCCCTTCAACCCCTCTCCACCCCTCTATTTGCAAAGACTTTGTTTCCATTTTCTCATGTTAATTCCATGCCCTTCTTTCCTTTCCCCAACCCTTCCCACTTCCCCTTCCCCTTTGCACCTTTTCTTCCTATTTCACATAATATATTGTACATTTTGATCCTTAGTTATATTTTCACTTTCTCACCCCAGAGAACTATTTGGTATTTACATGTGTGCCCTATTTATTTCACTTGAGTATGGCCTCTATGTGCATCCATTTAGGTATAAATGTCTCTAATTTCACATTCTTTGTAGCTGAGTAGTACTCCATTTTATTAAAAAGAAAAACCCACATTTGATGGGCAATTGGGCTGTTTCCAAGCTTTAGCTATTACAGACTGCCGCTATGAACATGGGTGTGCATATATAGCTGTGGTATGATTCTTTTAATTCCTTTGGGAAGATACCCAGCAGAGGGATGGCTGGGTCAATGGGACCTCTAATTCTGGTTCTTTGAGGTATATCCATACTGATTGCGACAGTGGTTGCACCAGTCTGAACTCCCACCAACAGTAAAGAAGGGATCCTTTATCCCTACAAACCCACCAGCACTTGTTATTGGTTGATTTCATGATAGCAGCCATTCATTCAGGGGTGAGGTAGAATCTCAATGTTTTTTTCATTTGCATCTCTTGAATGACCAGTGATGTTAGATTTTTTCTTATGTTTATTTGCTATATCTAGGCATGCCTCTGGCTAGGGCCTGTCCTCCTACATAGCTGTTGTCTGAGAGGGCCTTTTGCTGGGGGCTGTGCACCCCTATTGCTGGTGTCTGGGTGGGCTTCTGGCTAGGATCTGCTTGCGCTTACCAACAGCCTCTGGCTGTTGCTTATGCGCCTATGCAGCTCTTTTCCAGACAGGTGTTTAGCTGGGGCTTGTGGGCCCAAGTGGCCAGCGCTGTGGGGGAGCCCTGGCTGAACCTGTCTATAGCTGTGCTGCTCTGGTCCACACCACCTTCTCACTGGTATCTGTGTGCACTTACTGATGGTATTGGGTGGGCCTCTTGACTGTTGCTTGAGGGCCTGTGCAACTCTTTTCTTTTTTTTTTTTTTTAAATTT